TGATGAAGGCAGTATTGTCAATCACCTTTATAGTGGATTGCTAATTGAGTACTTGTAATATATGTTTGCTGTAGAGGTCTTGTTTGGATGGTTTAATATTAAACGTGAGGAGAGGGAAATTGCAATTGTGTTTATTACAGAGAGTAAAACTTACTTAAGTATTAACTAATAACTATCAATATTGACCCTTTAACTGAAACTACTAACTAGATAGCTGACATTCCACCTGTCATAACTGCCTAATATAAACAGTGTAATAGTAGAAACTTTTTCTAGATTACAATGTTTCTCTATGTAAAGAAGGGAAAAAGATAGTATAGTAGCACTCAAAGTATTATTATAAAGTTAACATTAATAGAAATCAATAAAAGATGAAATTGATAAAAAAATTTAAACTAAATAATAAATCAAATTTTTATTAATTATATAGTTCTAGATATTTAATTTAATTTAATAAGAATAAACTTATATACCCTCATCCCCGCTCTCTACCTCTTCAGTCTTCACAGTAATCTTTCCTCTCTTCTTCACTCTGTCCTACTACCTTCTTCCTCCATTGGCTACGAAAATCTCGTTGAGGAAATCGTTCATTGTTGACTTGTTGGCTACGAAAAAGTATATAAACCCTCGTCAACTGTTAGATTATGGTGGTCTCCACTTCTTGGCATCTGTGACTGTTACCCCCTAAAACTAATGAACACCCCCAATGTGAAGAGAAATTGAGTGGCAAAGTGTGGGTTTACGCTGCTGGATGAGTGGTGAATAACATTGATATGGTCCCATGTTTGAGCATCCAGAGCTCATCAACCAATGTTTTCCAATTAGGTACTGAAAATTTAGATTGAAAATTATTTCGAACATTAAGGTTATTCGACTAAAGAAGTGGAACCCAACACTAGCCTAGGAGCTTCACTAGGGGTTGTTTTATCCAAGATAACATAATCATCTTCCACGAAGCCCTTCACCATTTCAAAACCCAAAAACTGGATAGGAGACGAGATATGATGCTAAAGTTGGATATGAGAAAGGCGTGTGGCATGGTTAACGGGAAATGCTTGGACACACTTATGAGCAATTATAGGTTCAATGAATGATGGTGCAAGTAGGTCAGATCATGTATATGCTTAGTTAAGTTCTCTATTATATTCAATGAGGAGCCATTGAGTCCTTTTAACCATAGTGATGAATTCGCCAGGGAGATCCTCTACGGCTCTATCCCCTTCCATTTTCATCTTGATGTCTAATGCGATAATATTTCTTATTGAGAAGGCGGTTGTTGAGTATAAAAGTTATTAAACTCGACTTTAGATGCCTCGTTCTCACTAACTGCCTTATCGCAGATGATATGGTTATATTTGGGAAAGCCAACCAACACGAGACAGGGAGAATGTGGATCTCATTGAGGATTATGGAGCTATCACTGGACATATGAAGTCAACATCAATAAATCCTTCATCTTCTTGAGTGCTAATGTTCATCTTCAAGACCACTTGAGAGTTAAAGAATGTATTGAACTTGGGGATAGGAGACGAAACACTTACCTCATTCATGTTTCTGACTCTAACTTAGAAGTTATCCTGAGGATTTTGATTGGAGAAGAGGACTAAAAGGACTTCTGGGTGTGGAAACTCATGAATAAGTGGAGATTGCAGTCAAATATACTTACCATGCTGTCAATATGACAAAAACAAATCCCAAACAATCAGGAACACGGATAAGTGGAGATAGTTTGAGGCTTGCATCCCCCTACAGCTTAAAATTCTTCATTTCGAGATGCTCTAGGAATGGTATGAAATTTAAGGTGAGACTCCTCTATCGTAAGTGCTCCCCAAAATTAACATGCCTAACATGTCACTATTCAAATGAATCTCTCTTCCACCGCTTCTTTGCATGCACCCATGTGGTTAGTTCCTAGAACAACATTTCCCCTTCACAAAATTGGCATGCATAGCATGTCACCGCTAAAGAAAGCTATCCACCCTCGACGAGAATCAGCAGCACTAGATTCGGTCTTATCCCACTTCGGCTTCTTCGTTACTTTGTATACAGGGCCTGGATTTCAGCTCCTTTCCTGTAATGTTTCCGTAATGTTTCGTTTTTGTTTCAGTATGCAGGTCGATTGTTTGGCTCTCTACCTCCGCCTGCTGTGCGTGTACTTTGTTCGGTTGTATTTTTCCTTTGTTTAAATTAATAAAAGACTATCACCACTATAAAAAAAAAGCTATCCACCCTAGAAGTTCCATTCATGTTGTATTCATCTGTTGGAATATCTGAAAGAAGAAGAATAAATGTGTATTACAAAACAGGGCTCCTTGCCCCATGAATATTTGCTTACAAACCTATAGAGATTCATTTTTTTATAAGGGCGAACTTATTTTAATAATTATAAATAAAGAAAGATGGGTTGAAATTACAATAAATCAGTCCGAACAGAGAAACAAGTATAGAAACTGGATGTCATATGCCAGAGGAGCCCCCTCCCAACCCTCCCTCTAGTCTCTTACTAATGCACCACCAAAACAATCACCTAGTGGCAATTCACTACGATGTTTCATTCTTAAGTGACTCGCAATCGATATTCTATGGTGATATGGTCATCAATCATCATGGATAAGTATGTGATGGAACGACCGACATTCTCTTTTGTTCTATCCCGATTAGCACATAAATATGATTTCAAATGTATGATCCAATCATAATGTCAAGTATTCGTTCAATCTTTATCTCGACTCATCGAGCTGGCCTTGGAGGTGTGCTGCCTGAATATGATCAACGGCCTCAATCCTTACAACAAACCCTCAAATTAAGGTCAAGAGTGTGTCTAGAACGTTTAATATTGTAGTTGATTAGGTTACTCGTTTTCTGACGAGATCTTCTCTCCCAAGTAAATGAAACAATATTCTAGCTAAATCTAATTTTCCATCTACTCTAAAAACTGTACTCCTTGTTTTGTCTCTTTTGATGATGGAATAAAGACTGATTTTATTGTAAAAAAAAGTGGGTGAGCTAGTTGATACCATACCTCACATTCTCGAAAAGAGAGTATGCTCTCATATAAGCAAAACTCAAGCCAACAGGATCCTCAAAACTGTTCAATTGAGCTTTACCTAGGCATCCAATGTAAATTACAAACTCTCTTAGCCTAATCTATGAATATAATCACTATCCCCTTTTATATTTAGATTAATATATGATGTTAAATCGAGATGAACTAGCTTGATTGACTTAACCCAATGTAGGGTTTACAATGCACATTTGAGATGATTTCATCTCGATCGACTTCCTCTGCACCTAAATTTGGGCTTCTCTTTACTATATTTGGTATGATACAAACGCTAAAAATTGGCTTAAGTTTTCCTAAGAGGAGGCGTAAATGTGTAGATGTGTGATTTGGACCGAATGAGGGGAGTAAGCTGATTAAAATCGACCAAAGAGTCTCACATCAAATTAAAGACGGATAGTAATAATTGTGGGAAGAAATATTGTCCCTCAAGCTAGCTGCTGATGGGGCCATGCCCGCACATGCAAGGGCGAAACGTAACACGAGAGTAACCTTCTAGTACTTACAGACTGGATCATAGACATCATATGCAAATGTGTTTCAATTTTTTTCAACACCTAAAAGTAGGAAAGCCGTTGAATATCATCTCCCCTCTTCATAGCATCAATTTATGGGTTGGTCTGTCATTTCCCTCAAAAATATAGCAAGAGAGAATAGTTAGTTACAAGTTACAACTGTCCCGACTGTTTCTCTAGGAATCGGAGAATTGGAGGATGATTCGACAAAGTAAGAAAACGAAAAATAAAGAACCAACACGACACAATGTGTGATAGCTAGTCCACGGGCAGGAGAGAGCCAGTTTCACTATACTTCGAGAAGATATATATTATAGATGAGTATGAAAAGTATTTAGACTAGTTCTCTATGTGTTCTAACCCTAATCCAATCTTATAAAGGAAAGAGGTCAAGAACAACAACCCTCCTGACATCTAACCGTAACCTGATAATGTTATTCAAGTCACATCAACAACAACAAAATGAGACACGCTTAATTCGGGAATCCTCCAAAACAACTCACCAACGGAGCTACTGGTTCTTAAAAAAATCAAAGAAAGCTAATTGTAAAGGAGACAGCAACGTAACATTACACACCACTGTATAAGCAGTCTAATTTGTGGCTCGTGGAACCACTATAAGATCTATGCAATCAGAAAGAGAGGAGACTAAAACACAACACTCCACCTCCAGAGTCCAGACGAATGGAACAATGTAACGAATATGCCACCACATACACTCTAATTATGTTGATGGACGACCAATTTAATTAGAGTCACCCTCGTCCCTCGATGATCATCTTATAATTTTCAAAAAACAATGACACAAAAGACATCTCTAACCGCAAAAAACTCCGCAACACAATGAGTATTAGAGACACCACAATCAAGGGACACAACCGCCATACTGTATATGTTAGTTGTTGACTTGTGGCGCTCCTTTTCTTCCTATACTGGGCTCAGAAACCTTATCCGAAAATCCTAGATATTTTCATGCCACGAGACATTTTGGGTGGTTTGGAAGTTGCTTGTTAAATAGATGTATTGTTGAGAATGCATGTATAATATTATATATGTATTGTCGAATTTGATGCATTGTAGAATATAACGTTTGGTATGTGTGATTGTGTATGTCGCATCAGCTAAAAGTTGAGACAAAACAATCTCAACTCAACTATCTCAACAATCACAACTAAAAGTTGAGATATAACCATCACTCAAAATGAGTGATAGTTTCTGTCACATCATAGAAACAATCCATGTATTGTTTCTACTAAAAAAATAAAAAAAACGATGCATTGTAAACAATACATGCATAATGACAATCTTAACAAAACAATCGTAACTTCCAAACGACCCCTTTAATTTGGTTCCACCGCAGGGTCACTTTGTACGTTGGACCCTTGACATAAAAAAAATTTGAACGTGAAGAGTGGTGAATAATGATTAGTAATTAAGCTTGATTTGCATGTGTACTTTGGATCAAGGGTTGAGAATCACAATCTTTCACCGGATAGGAAGATAATCTTCTTCTTTCTTATAACAAATATTACAACTCTGCACTATTTCTCCAATTAATGTTGGTAATTATTACTCATAATAATAAACAATCTGTTATCCCATTCCATAGGAGACTTTTGGAACATATACATCCATGTTAGGAATTAGGAAGGGTATACTTAGTTGCTTGGGTAAGATTGGATCCCTTTTAAGCATCCGACCCATGACTATTGATTCATATAAGGTTATAGGTATAATATGCTCCTCTACTATGACGTTTTATCAAATATGCCCATCTACTATTTTTTACATCAAACATGCCCCTGTACTTTGGAAAACTTATCAAACATGCCCTTTTGTTAAAATTTTCATCCAAAAACCGTTAACCAAGACCGAACTTTGATTTGGGCGACCCAAATATCTAAAATATTTCTAATAGTTTCACTTTGGAGTTTTTTTTTTGTTCTTTTGTATAGCCAAATAATTCTAATAAATTCACTTTGACGAGACCTAGAGAAATAAAACAAGGGTCAAAACTGACATTTCTCCTCCCATTTACCGATGTCAGGTCGTCTAAATCTCGGTTCAACCATGATTGACGATTTTTTCAATGGAAAATTCAACTGAAGGGCATGTTTGATAATTTTTCCAAATTACAGGGGCATGTTTGATGTAAAAAATAGTAGATGGGCATGTTTGATAAAACGTAATAGTAGATGGGCATATTATACCTATAACCCATTCATATACCACATTAAAGTAACTCAAATTCGCCCATAGAATATGTAATCATATCGATTTTATTGGTGTTTCGTTAGGTTAAGTTATAAAGTTGGGTTAAGTAATTGAATAATTAAAATGTTAAGAAGTAGCCAAGTAACCTAACATCATCTTCATCTTGATTAAGCTAATTTTGAAAATTCAACTAACCTTTCTTAGGGTGGATGTTAAATATTTAAAACTAATTGAAAAAATAGAGATATTAAACTAGAAGGGAAGAGAATGGGGGTCGGTCGATTATCTATTAGTTTGAGTAGAGAGATAGATTGGTTAACTTTTAGTGTTGATGGTGGATGAATAATGAACTATTTGGTCAATTTCAGTTGGTTTAAGTTTCACAAATCTTTAATACAAGGTATGATGGACTTGTCCAAACTTTCAATAGGTGAGTTTGGCTTCTATTAGCAAGAACGTGTAAAATATGATATATAATTCATGTTAACTTTCACTCAGAAATTCGAGTTATTGAGAACAAGTAATTATGAACATCCACAATCAATCACAATAACCACGATTCTACATTTTACCACGCTTGCCCAATAATCAAATTTTGTTAGGTTAGATAAGTACATATAAACTGAATTGGGTGACACGAATATGTTAAATTACATATAGTTTTATGTGATCTAAACATGTTAGACGATACATCTATTCTATTCCTAAAATCAGGAATCCAAACCAACTCCCCTTAAGTCATCTTCCTACATAGTAGTAGTTCTGAAAACTCCATGTGAATTACCAAACCCTTTATATTTTAGCGATGTGTTTGGTAGTTTTAACATAAGAAAGCATCAAACGTGGAAAGAAGGGAAGATTTTGCACATAGGAGTGGTTGCTTCAATTGACAGCAAAGCAGCAAAAACACAAAACGCTTCACATAAAAGCCGTCAAATAATTGGTCTTATTTCAAAGATTCCCCCTCAACAATTACACATGCAAAACATTAAAAAAAAAAACAAAAAAGAAAACAAAAGAGATCAATTATTCAGAAGTACACAGCACCCAGACAAGACACAACACATCAATCAACCGGAGAAAAAAAAAAAAAAATTTGCTCGCTGTTCGCAACAAACGAATCCAAGCAAGAAAAAGACACTTTTCGATCTTCCATTAATTTATTTTTAATTAATTAATGACCGCACAGGTCTTCCGGATCTCGCCAGCGGACCCGGTCTTGACGTTGATCCGGCCCATCTTCTCCATGGACTTGGCGAACTCGGAGAAGAAGCTCTGCACCGAACCCGACCCGAACTGGTTGATGAAGGACTGTGTGGCGGAGCTGGTCCTCAAAGCGGCGTCGGATTGGAACAGCCCCCGCCTCTTCTGCAGCAGCTGGAAGTAGCTGAGGTCGAACGTCCGGAAGCTGCCCGGGTCCATCTCCACGATCGTCACGTTGTCGGTGGTGTTCACGCACTTCATCTTCAGCTTCGTCGCGTACTCGCTGTCCAAAGCCGGGTCCTGCCCGTTGCCCCGACCCGTGAAGTTGTACAGCCGGGCCGAGAACGAGTTGCAGTGCGATATCCCGATCGTGTGCGCCGCTGCCACGACGACAAAAGAAGTCAGCAGCAGCAAAAGAACTCGAATTTTTCCTTAAATAAATTGAAATATTACGTATGTACACGTACCGGAGAGGAGGACGAGGTCCTTGGAGTCGAGGCCGACATTGCCGAAGAGGGTCTGGAGCGTGGTGATGTTGCTGGTCGGCGGAGGGATGGCGTTGAGTGCCTCCGTGGAGTTGGAGATTCTGCCGTCTCTTCTTCCCGTGGGTACTTGCCAGTTTGGACCGCCCTGTGTTCATCAAGGAACGAGAGAGAGAGAGAGGCGTATATATTATACTTAGTTAGTTAGCGCGCATTTTCATTAATAAATCGCGCGAGTTCGTTAATAATATCAAATAATAAAATGCGAAAGAATATTACAATGTGGACGACGGAGTCTCTGGCGGCGAGAGCGAGGATATCGGCGCAGGAGACGACTCCGGGACACGCCTTCTCGAGGAGGGTCTTGAGGCCGTCGATGAAGTTGAACCCACGGAGCGTCAGGTTGGGAGCAGCGGCTTTCTCCGCCGTGTTGTTGGCCGTGGAGTTTATCATCACAGAAGCATCGCACCCCTGGGGGAAAAAAAAAAACGAACAGTCGAACACACTTGATAAGATTTTCAGCACTCTAGTAAATGAACATATGTAGGGTGGAATAAAATGTTGTATACCCTGACGAAGCAGTCGTGGAAGTGCATCCTGAGGAGAGGAGCGGCCAAGGAAGGGGCGTTGGAGATGTGTTTCGTGACGTAATCGAGCACGATCTGTTCTGCTTTGGGGCAGGACTTGGAGTAGAAGTTCATCTGGAGCTGGGCCTGGGTTGATGAAGCGGCAAAAAGTGCCAAAAGGGCTAGAAATGTAACAAGGAGTTGTGGTCTCCCCATCTTTGAGGTTATGCTTCTGGGTTGGGAAGCAGATTGATTGTCTTCTTTCACTATCGGAGAAGAAAGATATGAGCCTGCAGATTGTGAGGGATGCTTTAGGGGGAGATTGATTAATGGCTTTATATAGAGCCTGGAAGTTGACACAATAGAGGAAAAAGAAAGTTGAACTTGCTAGACAAGAAGGATATGTATTAAAGTATTGATTACAGGGAAATTGTGGGGCAAGGGAGGGAGGGGGAGTATGCTTACTGAACATGTTGTCATGTATGTAGTGTGGCCTTTTTTTTTTTTTTTTTGAAGTAGGTTTAAGGTCTTGCTTTCAAGTGGAGAAATCTGGGGTTGTAAGATATTTGGCAATGAATGAATTATATGCCTAGCTGCCTGTTTGTATATTTTTAGGGTCAAGTCATCGATGGAAACTAGATGCGTACGGCTCATTGAGGATGCCTTGAGTAGTAAGGTTTGTAACAAAACTTCCTAGGTATTACGGTTGGTTATTAGTATTATTACTTTTATTTATGACAAGGGGGAGTAAATAAGGATTGTGAGAACAAAAACTCAGAAATTATTTTTGCATAAAAATATTTTAACTTTGCGAGTTTCTCCTATCCAATATAATTGTCTAAGTATGACCAAAAAGACTCAAACTTTGGTTTTGCCCAATTCCCAAATCCAATTGATTATGGACCAAGTTATATATGTTTGGGTACTTTTATTTTTAGGCAAACCTATTTGAATCCTACATATACAGAATCAATATATATGAGTAATGACAATTGGATCAAATTATATATCCACTAGTGGTTATTCCTATGCTTATGTACTTGAGTGAATTTTAGCAAAGCAGGCTCGGTCACCTCTAAGTTGAAGGAGGTAGTATTGCATTCTTCTCTTCCTGTAAGTATATTTAATAAAAGATATTACTTCATTTCAACTAATCATGGTTCCTTGGAAGAAAAAAAAAAGAATCTAATCATGGGTTCGTTGGTTCATGTTGTTTAATGTTGCGAGATAAAGGTGAGATTCAAAATGTGGCACGCCTCTCCTACTGCTCCCTAAGGGTCAACATCAGTGACCAGTGCCAACATTTGATTGGGCCATTTGAATTGAATTTGATTAATTAAGGAGTAAATAAATAATTAGTTGCTAACTGTCCCCTGGGTGGTGAGATTAAGGGTTTTAATGAATCAATCTGATACAATTGTCTCGTTTTGAGTCAATTGTGCTAAATTGATTCGTTTGGCAGCAGAAAATTTGGATGAAGCAATTTGGGTTGGGGAATTCCGAATTAACTCATTTTGAGCCAATTACAATTGTCTGGGGTGGGAACAGGTAATCTGAATTGACTCGTTTTAAATGACTCGTTTTGTAAAATAAAATAATTGATCAAATTGTTTCGTTTTACAATTGATTCATCCAAACAACCCCTTCCTCCTTCCTGGCTAGTTAAGTTTTCCACTATTGAACGTACAAGGAAAAAATCAAAGAAAGTGGTGAAGTACGTAATTCGGATTCCGCGTTTGATTTGGGCTTTGGTAACGTACAGCTATTTGAATGGGTGTAGTAGTCACATTCCAGCTTTGCTTAGAGCCCAAGTTTATTCGTACAATTATTTTTTTTCAGGTAAAAAGCACATATATACATGTACACACATTTGTTCTGACATCTCAAATGGTCAGATAGGGAACGAATCAGGTTAGTAACCCTATAGTCAATAACCATGAGTTTCCCGTCCATATCAGCATTACATTAGTATCCCTCTCTCTTGTTAAGTCTTTTTATCTTTTTTTTCCTTTAATCTTTAACAGACGATTTTTCTCTCGTTTTAAGTCAATTTTTTTTACACAGATAAATCATATTAAACGTGCTCTTTAAAACGATATCCACTTTGATATATTTTTAGAATAAAAAAAATTGAATAATTTTTTACCAGTCATTACTATATGGTATACTCCTATTTAATACTATATGGTAAGAAAGCGTACCATGATGGTATGAACATACCAATATGATAAGAAGGTTGAATACATAATAGTAGGAGTATACTAACTGTCATTTACGACTTTCATCATTGTTTACTACAAGTTACCGCCCACATACCATAGTGGTAAAGCATGGTAATTTTTCGTCCAGTATTTTTTTCACCCAGAAATTTATAGATCCAATAGATCATGATGAACTCGTTCCTTCTGCGCAAACGTTTTCAAAAATGACTTAAAAACCATATGATATGTAGTTGGTAAAAAAGAGTTTCTCGAAATATATTGAAAATTGATCTAATTTTGTAGAGCACAACGAACTCGTTCCATCTGTGCAAAAAAAAAAAAAATTTGAAATCTGAGTTAGAACGAAGAAGATAAGAGCTGATTTAGAAAACTAGGGAAAATAAAATGTCTTTAATTGACAATCCTTAGATCTGAATTTTCTGAACCCACTTCGATTCAAAGGTTCAGATTTAGTTATTTATAGGTTAGTAACCAATAATTACCGACCTAATCCTAAGCCGTCGGAGTATACGATGCTAACATGCTACATATTGTATCCTAATATTCTTGTTTGTTTAGAGGAAATGATAAAAAACAACAAAAAAAAAAAAAATTTAAATCTGCATCCTGCTTCATCAGTTTCTCTGCACCAGACCTAGTTTCTTCTATGATTGTGATTATTGGCCTCGGTTGGACTCCACCAATGGCGGAAACGACGTTGTGAGCACTGGAGATCTCGTTTCTTCTTCCCCGAGAAGCTGGATTACCTCCTATGAATTTGCATAGTCGATGTCTTCATCTTCTTTCTCCTTGTCTTCCATATGTTTTTGTTTGGCTCTTTCATTGAAAAATTCGAAGGTTCATCGCCGACCTTGGACGTAGAATGGATGTGTATGGATTGTCTTTCCCGATGACAAGAGGGGGTTTGATAAGTGAAGTATGTTTGACGGCTGAGTGCTGACAATTCAAAGATTCTAAATTTTCGAATGGTTAGAAAAAGATTTCAAAAAAGTTTATATTTGGTAAATGTGATTGTTGACATATAATGAAAAATTATAATACAAAAATATAAAAGAGAATTGATATCTCTAAATTTTAAATATTTCAAATATATATGAACTTAAAATCCACAATAGAACGACAAAATTATAAATATATGCTACATTTATGAATTCTAACGGATTTGTCCTCCATATATTCTCTTAACAACCCTAATGACAGTAATAACTCACAGAAATCAAAGGCTTATAACTAATTAGGTTTTTCATTTTTATTTCCGCTATTGTGAAATGTGTAGTAATCTTTGTAATGTACTCATGTTACAAAATTATTTTCGAGATCTCTTTTTTTACAAAATGTGTAGTAATCTTTTTCATAAATACAATTTTCTCACAAAAAAAAAACATGAATAAAATTCTTTGATAATTTGCTAAAATGGGGATAATATTAATTCTAACAAAAAAAAATGGTAATGTTTGACTTAATAGTTTGTGCGCGTAAATTCACCTTACTGGCTACCGCCGTCCAGTGTAAATAAAATTAAGAGTTCAAAGATGACAGAAGCTAGAAAAATTCAAAGAGGGCTATGGAGCTATTTCCCTAAAATATTATTAAGAAACCCTGATAATTATTTTTTTTAATGAAATTAAAGAAAGCTAATGTCAGTGTCATAAAAACAAACTTATCTCAATATTTTTTAGGTTACTATCTTTAATTGTTCCTGTAATATTACATTTTACCTCTATTGTCGAATAGCAAAAAAATTCATTTTCTCAAACTTGTAATTATACTATTTTTCATTTCAAACTCGTCCACTATGTTATAATTACGTGTTCAAATATTTTCTTCTATTATATTCTTCATTGAAAGTCCATGAATTATGGTTAAATTACAGATTACCACAGTGAAATGACATTATTGTCCTCATAATTTTTTTCAATATTAAATTATCTCTTGTTTCTTGTTCTGCTTTTCTCTATTATGATTTGCTCTTCATGTCCTAAACACCTAATTATATTCTAAGATATCTTCATTCTTCCTTTTAATAAATCCATCCTTATTATGTTTTGCTCTTCAAATCCTAGATATCAATATTATCGATCGGGTTCCTAATGCAGTCTCTTTTCATTGATGTCTTGTGAGTTGTTACTAATGCCGTTATACCAATTTCTCGCTCTCTATCTTCACATTGTGTTACCACCAAGGACTAAATACATTTGTCTTATTGACAAGCAGTACATAGGAGATGTTGAAATCCAATTTCAATCCATTTAGCACACTTTAGTTTTTTTTACCAAAATTTATCGTGGTCTATATCCACCGCATAAAACATTCTTAGGCATGAAAACGTGAAGAATGTGGATGGTCCCTAGTAAATGCTCTTTATGCTACAAATAGGAAGAATCCATGGACTACATTAGGGTTGACAATTGGAACTCGTCCCATCGGGTATTATCTGGTTTGCCCGTGATAAGTTGTGTGGGGGCGGAGTATGAGTATCTACTTCGAACACGTCCTGTCCTGCACCACCTCTTTCTTGGCCCATTCTATGTCAATTTCTTACAATATCTATTCATATTTTTTCTATTTTGATTTTTGTTTAACTAGTTGGACTTGATCTTTCAACTAATTAACTCAATTACTCATTCTATTGTAACTATTTTTCATTCATAAAGTGTTTTCTATTTGATTTATCGTAAAAATTAAAATTTTGAGTGTATTTTTTTCATATAACAAGTAAGAGTGGGGACATATATGTGTATTGCGGTACCCCTCTTCCCCCCTCATTGCCATCACTGTACTACTTCTGTCAAACACAATGTCAAAAGAAGGATAATCAAACGAACACACCAAGATTTACGTGGTATCCTCAACGAGTATCGTTGACACTAATCCACAGAGAGGAACAATCTCTTAGAGTCAATTGTATTTCACCGAGAATCCTTAGGTTACAAGAATGGTTGGCCTCAACTATATATAATAGCCGAACCCCCCAAACCCTATCTCACGTAATCCTACACAAATATGGAATATGGATATTTGGCTAATTACAATTGACTCCACATACTTCTAACACCCTCCTTCAAATTGAAGTCGAGTCGGCCTGGTGAACATCTAGCTTTGCTTGACTCCTCAACCTCGTCTCCTCTCGGACAAGTTCGCCTAAGATATCCTCCATTTTGGTAACATTACGATGCAATAAGGAAGAACATATACCTTCAAACTCACCTCGTAATTTCATAAGAACGTGCATCACCCGGGAACTGGTCTGTTCCTGCAGAACCTCAGCTGAAGCACCAGAGAGACCAAGGACGAGGCTAGAAGATCCTGTTCAGTCCACAAACTCACCGCCGTCTGATAATAGGAGTGAACAATAAGGTCGCCATGATGTAAATTGGCCAAATTGAACTCAATTTTAAACTTCCGCGACAGACTTGATTGCAAATGAACAGCTGAGAGTTGTTGCCACATCTCACGGCAGTCGAGAAACCCCGAAGACGACTAAGGGCTATCTGAGGCTCGACAGATGAAAGAAGCCAGACCATGACCTGAGCACTATGCACTGCCCAGTCCTTTCTCCTTGGCCGCAGCAGTGTCCGCAGGCGCCACCATAGACCCATCAAGAATACCCACTAAGCGATGCCCTTGAACAAATATACGGAATTGCAATTTCCACAAGGCAAAGTTATTACCTTTAAACCGAATATCCACTGTATCAAGCTTCAACACATTCATGATGGAAAGATCACACGAAAACGAGAAGGAAAGAAATTCAGGAGAAATCGACACACAAAAGCAACCCACAAAACACCGAAGCCGCAAGAGAGGAAGGCTGGACACGAACCAATAAACCAAAATCACCAGAGAAACCAAGTGCTATCTCAAGCACCAAGGACGGCCACAAAAACTAGAACACGGATCTTTGCACAAATCTCCAAGATTTCCCGCAAAACTTCGTACGACGGACACCATAAACAGAACAACGCTCAACAAAACAAAGCCCAAAATCCGAGACTATGCTCTTATATCATGTCAAACACAATATCAAAAGAAGGATAATCAAACGCAAACACTAAGATTACGTGATATTATAAACGAGTATCATTGAGAATAATTCACAAAGAGGAGCAATCTCTCAGAGTCAATTGTATTTCACCGAGAATCCTTAGGTTACAAGAATGGTTGGCCTCAACTATATATACTAGTCGAACCCTCTAAACCCTATCTCACATAATCCTACATAAATATGGAATATGGATATTTGGATAATTACAATTAACTCCCCATACTTCTAACAACTTCATCAATTGCGAATTCTTCGAGAAAATATGGAAGGCTAGCTACATGACTACCGATTTTAGGACCCTAAAACTGTGACATATAAGGCAATTAGATTTGATCCAAGTAACATCCTTCGTAACATGATTGGATAGATTTTGTGCAACATTCTCTGTGTCCAATTATAGTACGCATGGATGAAAGAAACTTATAAATTTTGGAGCAAAAAGTAATTATCCACAAGCTCTTGTCACCTCATTGGAAGATTGTTGGGTAAAATAGCTTGTCTAACACTATCTACGACATTGAAATTTTAAAGTAATAAGAAAATTATTGAAGACTC